CTAATTCATGCCTCTACTTAGAAATCATTTTCATAGTTGTAAAACATTATTTTTAGTTTTCACAATAAAATTCTGCTTTTCCTCTTTTCCTCATCTCACACTACATTTATTGCCCACAAAGTTATTTTCATACTAACAACCTTATAGCTTCTTTCACTACTCTGTTCTTCATATACGACCAATATATTTAAAGAATTTTGCTGACTTTCCCTTCAAAACATTCCCAGTTTTACCATTTGTCCTACATCATGGTTGCTTCCCTAGTGTACTTGATAGCTTCCTGCAAAGTTCTCTATGTTTCACTTCCACACCATATTCTCTTCTGAAACAGCAAATGTTTCCCTTTTATGAGTTTTATTGAGACTGTGTCTTCTGTGTTCATTACCCATCCAAAGATGTATTTCCTGCCCTTCTCCATCCAATCTTCCTACCCTGGCATACAAGACCTAAGTTTGCTTCAGGGCACGGTATCTTTTCAAACTTGTCTACTACGTTTCTTCAAATTCATACTACCTTATATTCATTTTTTTCATTTATATATTATACAGTGTACTTTCAGTCTCCTGAGTTTCACATGTTATTTCTTTTTGTTATTTCTTATTTGAATTTCTAATTTCAAAGAACAGAGTCATTGACCTCAAGGTAATTCTTGTGGAAGACTGTATAATAATTTTCTTTTTTATTAAAAAAATTATTTGTTATTTTTATTGTATGTGTGTGCATGTATTGCCCTATGTTGTGCAATGCCCAAGGAGGACAAAAGAGGCTCTTGGATCCCCTGGAACTGCAGTTATGAACGTTGTTAGCTGCCATATGGGTGCTGGGATTTGAACCCGGGTTTTCTGCAAGAGCAACCTGTGTTCTTAACTGCTGAGCCATCTTTGCAGCCTGATAATTTTCTTTTTTATGTGTTTGTTTAATCAGAAATATATCGAGCACTTACACTGTGTTCTGCTGTGCACATCTGCTCCCAGTCATAATGTATTCTGATACAGAATATGATTCAAGGACCACATCATCACAGAAAAAGTTTGCAGAGACCAAGAAACCACTCTCACCATCAGTCTCCCACATCCCAACATAGAAGCAGAGCCATTAGTTTGCAAGAGAGTGACTTTATTTTTTTTGAGAGCCCTCTACCTTACATATCATATAAATACTGACTTATACGTTTCTGAATGTTCTTCAATTTTTGATGAAAAAGAGTTTCCCTTGAGAAAATCTGTTTAATTACTTAACTATTTTATCTTTTTTCCCTTTTCAATTAGTTGAAGTGTTAATTGATAACCATAAAATGAAACAAAAGTACCTAAACCATATTTTTTCAAGTTTCATATTACAGCATAAGTAATATTCCTACAGGGCATAATAAACTTCATGGATGTGGGAGGCTACTGTGACTTATGAATGTTCACCTCATAGGGATCTGGTCTTTTGAAATGTTCTACTACTCAGTGTGGGTCCTACTGTGTACTTATGTTCCACAGCTGAGAGCACTCACTTTTGTGAAAGTCCCTTTTGTGTGCTATACTTGACAATATTTTTACTTTATGGAAGGAAACTGAATTTTTATTGACCTAAGCCACCATATTTGGAGTTTTTTGAAATAACCACAGTAGGAAAGCAAGACAGTGACTACATCATGGATATTGTTTCCACACACTGGGCACATTGCACCTCCATTCTTATTCTTACTCTCGTTTCCTCCTGTATCTCTACAGTGTGGGAGCATGACAGCTGACAGCCTGGATGCTGAATGAAAAAGTACAGAAGGTGTGACCAATGCAGTAATAGTAAAGCTAAAGCAGTAAGAGAAAGGAAAATGATAATAGAAACAGAAAGGGAACGAAAAGACTTTGAGGCCAAGGGTCCAGTTTAATTACTTACACTAAAAAGGAAATAACTTAAAGCAAATGTCACCAATCATAGCAGCTATTGGACAGAAATTAACTTCATCTCACCTCTACCCAAGCAAAACAACATATATTCTCTTAGGAATAAAATCAGAGAAACAAAGAGAACAGCTAAATCCAACATGCTCCCTCCAAACAGACCTTTACAAAAGTAGAGCAGGAACTGGCAAGATGGCTCAGCAGGTAAAGGCCATTCCTGTGAGACCTGGCAACCTGACTTCAAGCCTCATAACCCGCACAAAGTTGGATGATGATAACTCACTCCACAAAGCTATCATTTGACATGCACACATTGACACAGGTGACCACACAAATGCATCATGTTCACATACCCGATAATAATTAAGAATTGGTTAACATTTTCTAAAGTAAAGCAATTCATATCCTACCAACGGCATAAAATGGATATTTTAATGTAGTAATCATATATGTTTAATATGTGTATTGCACATCAATTAAAGGAACAAAGCAAAAACCAAAATATTACTTCTATTTGCTACTTTGTGTCATTGTTACTATATGAGAAATTATTAATTTTTAAATTTAAAATATTTGTTTATTTCTTTTCAAATTTGACAGCAGAAATTAAAGTTCATTTTTTGGACTGCAATTTGGTTTTGACCATGGAGGAAGACTTTGGGGAAATGTTTTCCCCAAGGTCATTAGCATTTTGCTCTTCTGTCTTTAACCAGACTACGTATGAAGTAAAAGGAACATTTTTCGCCAAAGGCACAATGACCTGACAGATCTCCATAGATGAGAGGATCAGGAACAAGAAGACTGATTTCTGCCACCCTGGAGTTTAGGGATCCAGGGATTCTCTGGAACTAATTATTCATAAAACAATTTCTCAGGTATCATCCTTCTTTTACTTTGAGTTTCTGAAGCCACATCTAAGAAGAAATATAATGTAAATTCAAACACTTTTGGAAAATATTGGTGATATTTCTTTTTCTTACTGGAAAAGATTGTTTGTGGATGAGAAGTTATTAAAAGTGTGTGCATTTATAATATAATTGCAATGTCTTGCTTTCTGAAGAAAAGGAAATATGAAATAATTAAGATAGTGATATGATAATGAAGCATGCCAGTTTCTGCACAGGATTATGAAGTAGGGATGCAATGACGTGAATAAGAAAATGCAAGTCATTGGAAAGGACAGTGGACATCGAGTCTGAAGTACTGAGAAAGGGTGGGAAGGAAACTTGGAGAGCCACCTTGGAGACAAGGCTTCCCCTAGTCCTCTGTGCTTTACAATTTTCCATGCAAATACCCAGCTTTGCCAGAAAATCAAACAACCTAATTAGCATATGCTCTAAACTGCTATGTTTTGAATTCATTTCTGTTGAATAATATGTTCTTAATCAGTAAGATATCAAAGGAGCATGAGTACGTAAAAACACTGGAATGAGCTTGGTTTTAAATTTGAATTGCATTATTGTTACCACTATCATGACCCTTAGTTTTTCCTAGTACTTTACAATGCACAAAAGATGGCTGACCTATAGTTACTTCTCTCATTTTTGTATGATTTTAATTGAATTTTTATGTATTTTATACAAAACATTTTAATCATCTTTATACCCCTCCCCCGTCCGCACCCTCTAATAAGATGAAAGGATGGAAAAAAATTCCAAGCAAATTGCATTAAGAAACAAGAAGCAGTTAGAATTTCAATTCTCTTAATTCCTAAAACATACACCTGAAGAAACAGCCCACACTCTTCTCCTAAGCTGAAGGGCAGAAATGGCTGCTGAGGACAGCTGAAGACATTGGACTCTGCAGCTGTAAGAATTAAACACTGTGGCTCTTGAGGGAACATGCTCTCATGAGGACAGCCTACAACTTCAGAAGTCATTTATGTTCATGTTTAGGTTTGCGAAGGAGTCTTGAAAATCTCTTTAATCACAATTTCAGTGACCCCAATTAGAATACCTAAAATCCCAACACTGAAAACACATCTATTGAAACATTGTCCTCTGCCTAGCCTCGTTCTGGTCCTTAAATACTGAATTCACCCAAACTAAACTGCATGATGTAGCAAGCGTGAGGCATGAACTGGCAGGATCTGTGAAGAGATGCTGAAGTGCAGAACATTTACATTTTTTGTTTCTGTTTTCTTTTTCTTCATTTTAAGAGATAAGCATTTAACTATCAGGTCAATGAACTATGCAAAATCCTTTGGTAATCACAATTTGCAGTTGAAGAAGTTACGTGAAACTTCGCTTCCATTTTGATAAAGCAGACCAAATAAAGCTATCTGGCTTCATCTTCAGGAGGTGATTTTATTACTCCTACTACTGTTTTTATTATTCTTCACTATTATTGCTTTACATTCTCTTGTCTTCGCCTCCTTATGAACTCTTAATTTCATAGTAGAAGTAATTATTAATACAAGTAATAGTGAGATTAAAAACTCTATCATTTCACAAATGAAATAAGAGAGGTCTCAGAATGTCAAATTATTTATTCAGGCTACAGCAGGAGTATTTAAGCATAAATTATGTGCAATTTAAGTTTCTTTCTAGGGTACCACATAGTGACATTGAAAGCCTGATAACAGAAAAGAGGCCATAAATTCATTTCAACAAGAGTCAAGTTTTATAAGAAGGAGCAAGAACATGTAAAAGTCACTGAGGTTCAGCTGCTTGAGAATTCCTGAGCAAATGTGACTTCCAGGCAGGGCAGTATACAGCACAGAAAAATAGAACAGATGTTTCTAGTTCTGCATCAAAAATAAATCAAGACTTTCCTGATACATAAATATTTTTGTTCCTCAAACCCGAGGTCTATTCAAAAGTCAATAGACTACTTTACACAAAATAAATATTAATTTTGTAAACTGTTGCAAAAACCTCAAAAACTGGTGGGAGATAATACTTCAAGTATCGTGTGAGACTCTAAGTATTTTCTTTATCTCTTTGGACTTTGTTTTAGCATTTGATTTAAAAAAAAAAGTGGGGTATTAATCAACAGTAAGCACCTACTTTTACATTTTCATCTGCTGGAGGTATTTATTTGTTCTGAATCAGAAACTGATTTTGATGTTTCGTTTTTTTTTTAATGTGTCCTTCAGGTAATTTCATTTTCTCTTTGAAACATGATATGGAAACAGTCAGCAATGTAACTGAATTCATCTTCTGGGGCCTTTCTCAGAACCCAGATGTTGAGGAAGTGTGCTTTGTGGTGTTTGCCTTCTTCTACACAGTGATCATTTTGGGAAATCTCCTCATCATGCTGACAGTCTGCACTGGCAATCTGTTCAAGTCTCCCATGTACTTTTTTCTCAACTTCCTGTCATTTGTGGACATTTGTTACTCGTCAGTCACAGCACCAAAGATGATTGTCGATCTATTAGTGAAGAAGAAAACAATTTCCTATGTAGGGTGCATGTTGCAACTTTTTGGGGTTCACTTCTTTGGTTGTACTGAGATCTTCATCCTTACTGTTATGGCCTATGATCGGTACGTGGCCATCTGTAAACCTCTGCACTACATGACCATCATGGACCGGGAGAGGTGCAATAAAATGTTGCTGGGAACGTGGGTGGGTGGATTCTTACACTCCATTATCCAAGTAGCATTGGTGGTCCAACTCCCCTTTTGTGGTCCCAATGAGATTGATCACTACTTCTGTGATGTGCATCCTGTGCTGAAGCTGGCCTGTACAGACACCTATGTTGTTGGTGTTGTGGTGACAGCCAACAGTGGTACCATTGCGCTGGGCAGTTTCGTCATCTTGCTAATTTCCTACACCGTCATTCTCTTGTCTCTGCGAAAGCGGTCAGCAGAAGGCAGGCTCAAAGCTCTGTCCACCTGTGGCTCCCACATCGCTGTGGTCATCATCTTTTTTGGTCCCTGTACTTTTATGTATATGCGGCCTGATATGATCTTCTCAGAGGATAAGATGGTGGCTGTGTTTTATACCATTATTACACCCATGTTAAATCCTCTGATTTACACTCTGAGAAACACAGAAGTAAAGAATGCAATGAGGAAACTATGGAGTAGAAAGGTTTCCTGGAAGACTAATGGGAAATAGCTGAAAGTTACTATGTAAACTGCATAACATTTGATTTCCTGAGCCTTGGTTAAGTCCTCTTTTCAGTGAAGCAGTAACACTAACCTCATAGGATTTGAAAGAAAATGAGGCAACAATATTTTCGTCAGAAGTAAGGAATGATCATCATATTACAATATGGTGTAATCAGATGATTTCCTGTAATATGTGTGACAGAAATTATATTACTCAGAGTCTTAAACGTGATCATATCAAAATCCTTTCTTTTTCTTATTCCTTTGAATGTCTTTTAACAAAAATGACTGTGGGTGAAATATTTTAGGCTGTTTCTAGGGTTTAGAGTGTGTTTGTTACATATTCAGTTCTCGAGATGTTTATTGCATAAATGACAGCCCACATCAATAATAGCACTCTATACTGTGTTCTTGCACAAATCCTGCAAAACAGAAAAACTTGGGCTCCTAATCTTAAGGAATTAACACTGAATGTGAAAGAGATGACAGGCATTTAGAAGACAAAAGATTAGTTTTCATTATTTGGTTTTGATTTCTATTTTTTATTATTCATTTTCTTTTAATTCCAACACTTTGCTATTTGTATTCAGTTCTAAAATTCTAATAATATTATTCTCACTGTGGACATGTATTTCTTTAGATGTAGACTGTTTGCCTTGATGAAACACTTTCCGTAAGCATGAGGCAGAAATCAAGATTTATTTTTTCTGGAGTTAATCTTTGAAACACTGATTATTCCTGACTTTGTTTCATTTGCTTTTCCTGAAATCTAATTATTAGTGCTGTGTTTTTTTTCCACCTGTACATGGGTTTTCTTTATGTTGGAGATGGAATATAAATATTACTACTGGGAAGGACTGTAGTTCCTAAAAATGAAATCACCAAATCCACATAAAGAATGAAAACAAAACTGAATGTCATGGGACATGTCCATATTCTTAGCACATTGGAAGGACAGGCAGAAGAATCAGGAATTCAGGGCCAACCTTGGTGACTTAGCAAATTTGAAACCAACCTGGGCTATAGGAGGAAATTTTTTATTAGCCACAGGTCGTTTGCATTATTGAAAGTAAAATTTGTCTTAGCTTTCCCAGTTTAATTATGTATTCACTCTGTCTACATTGCCTCTCTTTGTTCAGTTTGAGAACAAGAACTTGTTTAACATTTACAAACTTGACCTATAACCTTGACAACTTTTATTTCATGACTTTTTTTAAATTGAAATTTTTGTGACTTTTTAAAAATATAGTTTGGTGGTATTAACTGCTCCCCTATTCACACAATTCTCCCACTGCCCCCCACCACAATTTAATGTACTCTCATTAAATATAAATACATGTACA